AATCTGCCACTGGCCCTGCCGGTGGCGCCCGGGGCACATGCCCCCCCTAGCCTCAGCACTGCCCCCAACCACCCCCGTGCCTCCCCTTCCCGCACACTGAGCCACTATTACCTGGCTTCTCCCCACTTTTTCCATGTCCCGCAGCCTGCTCAGTCAGGGTACTGACGAGATGCCCCGCCTCCTGCAGAGCCCGCACTGTACTGAGAGCCACGCATTCCTTGTGACAGCCGCTGCTTGAGTCAGTGAGAGGCAGCCCAGGAGCCTCCGTACAGCTTCAATGACGGCCCAGCCTGCACAGCATCGGAGGGGCCCACCAAAATTTTATTGTGGACTACCGGTTGGCGAACGCTGCACTAGACCACCGAATGGAGTTTCCCCAAACAAAAACCATATTCGCTGTTAGAATTTCATTTGTTTGAGAAAAAAAAAGTTAATTTGTACTAAAACGATGCAAGGGAGGTCAATGCTCACATAAATAACCCTGTCTGTACTATGCTGGCAGATCTCCTCATCTAAACTAGATATTGACACGGTCTGTCCCTACAAAAGGGTTAAAGATCTAGAAATGTTGGAATGGGAACATATAATATATAGTGGGGTTTTCTCAATTTTGAAAAGTGGAATTATACTCCAAGAGTGTTCCTAGTCTTTCTATGTGAACAGGCAGAGGTTTGTCTCACTTTTTTTTTTTTTGTAGCATCTAAAAAAAGTGCAGCCTGTCCAAAGACCTGCTAAGCAGAGACAACTAAAAAGGCGAAACATGTTTTTAAATAATTTTTCTGTACGTTGTGTGAATGGGAACATACATAGAGGGGTATTCTCAAATTTGACTAAAAAAAATTGGAAATACACAATAAGGCATGCAGAAAAAACCCCAAGAATATGTAAAAAATAAGCCAATTGGAAACCAAAATGTCCCATGCTTTATTACAAGATACAGCACAGGTAATACTGTATATAAAATCTATTATTACACAGTATTGGCATATAGCTTGTACAGATTTTAAGCCAGTGCATTTGGTAAATGTAAAACATCAGGTTGTTAATAGAAGGGGTAAAACATTAGCCAGTTATCTGCAGAATATAAAAAAAATATATGTTACTTTCAACTAGTTGTGTTTGAAAGGAATGCATATGTGTATAAAGAGTGCACATTCTGCCTTTATGCACGGAGATCAAAGGTTTTCAGGGTAACAGTCACAGAAGATGAGGACATAACTACACATATCTATCGCACTTCAGGACAACGTAACAAGAGAGGCGGCTCAATTGTAAACAAAACTAAACCATATACAATTAAATTTGGTGAATACGTTTAAAACCCAATTAAACTTCCAATTTAAAATGTCACTAAACCATAATTTTACAATTGACATTTTAAGCCAGCATACAGTAGAACACCTAAAAGTAGTATTAAAAAGGAGAACTATGAGGTGAGTGCTTTTCACTCACCTCATAGTTCTAGCCGACCTGTGACAATGAGACTGTCACAGGTCTGCTCAGTAGATCGGGAGGTGAGCAAACACATACCGGGTTCGCTCACCTCTCGATCCTGTCACGGGTCTCTGCCGTGACAGGGGAGGGGCTGGATTCCCCTCTCCGATCTGCCAGCGCTGACTGGCGGAACGGACGGGGGAGGGGGCGGGTACAGCTGTCTAGATAGGCAGAGCCAGCTGTCACTCACGCAGCTGGGCGGATCTCGACATCGATGTCGGGATCCGCTCCGGCGTCTCAGTATACCGCGAGCTGTAGCTCGCGGTATACTGAGCCTAGGGTGACGGGAGGACGCTAGTTTGTGTCCTCCTGTTACCCTAAGGAGAACTATGGGGAAAAACACTTACCCCATAGCTCTCCTTTAAAAGCTGGTCGTTTTTTTTTCCCTTAATGCATTCTTTGCATTAAGGCAAAAAACTCCCAGTACCTTTTTGTCCCCCCACACTTGCCTGTGTCACCGCCAGTCCCCAAAGTGATCCTCCATTCCTCGAACTTCATGGTTGTGGGGGTTGGATACTGAGGGCAGAGGAGCCATACTGCCGGCATGACCAGAAACGTCCACGCACAAGTGCGTCCACAACAGCCGTTTAGCTGAAGGGAACAATGCGGGGATCCACTAGAAAACTAGGAACTGAACATTTTTTAAAGAAAAACAATTGGAGTATTTACAAAAAGGTGTAAAAAAAACAAAAAACAAAAAGAAACCAAAGCTTTAATGTCAATTATAATCTTCAAATTTCTTTCACATAATGTCGCTGTGATGGGTACAAGCAGGGGATGCATTTGTGGTCATGTGCATCATTCTCATGAACTACATATCCCATGTATCAATGTGCCTGCTAATAATACTGTGCATGCGCACCAGTTTCATTCAATCAGACTGGTACCGCAGGTTTGCTGGACCTGCTGTCACTGTGAAGTCCATGGGCGGTGCTGTGTAGATGGCAATTCCATCAATGGGATATTTGCGTTTACGTGCTGATGCAGCCATTTTTGAATTCCATCTCTGGAGGGTTCCAGGAGTGTGGCTACATTCCTACATATAGTGGGAATATGGTGAACGACTTTAGCCACCCTCAGAGAAGATTTTAAATGTAATTTTTGGGATGCGCTGCCTGATGCTTTTGTTAGAAGGAACAAAAATAACTACAAATGCCAGGTATCAAATAGGATATATTTTTTCTTAAACTGGGTTTAGTAACACTTTAAAATCAGTTGAATACATTCCAGGAGCATCAAAACAAAGTGTGAAGAGTCTTACAGTTTGTTTTCTTCAGAAAGCATCCACATACTGAGTACAAAAGCCTGTCCCATGCCAGCATGCTGCAGAAAAAGACCCTTGCTGAAAGCAGTGGCCTCTCTGCAGAGGTCCGACACACCCCCTGCCAAGTCAGATCTATAGCTCTGCAATCAGCAAAGCTTACGCTCCCTACTGATTGGAGAGCTCTTGCTCTGATGTTAAAAGGTTTTTAAAAACACAAGACGCACCATTAGGGCAAAAGTTTCCATACAGTTATTTTAACTTGGTGATGCAATTGTCCTGCTCTTTGGACTTGGATAACCATGAATCCAGCCAGGTATGGCCTGAGTATTACATTTGTATGATCCTCAATAGCATGCTTTTAAGATTGAATAATTTGAAAGCTCGCGCCACTACTCTAATCAAGTTAAGCAGCAGCTGAAATCTGTGTGGTCAGATATAACGTATGAAATTAATGGTAAAAGCCGCACTGAGTGAATGAGACCGCAAAAGTGTCAGATATAGTAGATACTGACCTTGGAGTAATGCGATACAATGTGTAAAAAGTGCAAAACAAAGAAACGCATGTATATAACATGCACCTTAGTATAAATGTAATTGCTACAAAATATCCATAATGAAAAATCAAATGCACTAAATATTAACTGTGAATCAATGTGATGCAATGTGCAAAGAATACCAACTAGAAAAACGCATGTGTGTAACTTGTACTACAGTGAAAATAATATATGGTTAAAAAATGTCCATGATCCTGGATCTTCAATAGTCCATTAAGTAAATAGAAGATAAAACATTGGATGTAGAATAGACTTAGTCTCCTGTGACCATCAACAGAGAAATCTTCTGGAATGCACCTCACCTTTAGCAGAGACCCACCAGGGTCTGTATGCGCTGTTCCTCTAATTCTCTAATTCGAACCAGGTAGAGGAAGCACCTGATGCTGAATACCTCCCAGTGATTTCCTCCTCTACAGACTCTCTTGCAGTCTCAGGAATTGGAAGCAGACAGTTCATCCGAATGGCCCATGCATCAGATAAAATAAAAAGTGGAGACTCGTAGTGCAGAAGGTTTTAAAAGGATACTAGACTTTATTAAAACAAGGATAGTACTCACATATCATAGATAAAAGTGAGGTATTTGGTAAACAGCCACAGACACTGTGTGCAAATCTCTCAGCTCCTCTACTCCACCCTACGTACGTTACGCCAAAGGGCTTGACTTCATCAGGGGTGTCACACGGTGTGCAAATCGCTCAGCTCCTCTACTCCACCCTACGTCAAAGGGCGTGACTTCATCAGGGGTGTCACCCCTGATGAAGTCACGCCCTTTGACGTAATGTACATAGGGTGGAGTAGAGGAGCTGAGCGATTTGCACCCAGTGTCTCTGGCTGCTTACCAAATACCTCACTTTTATCTATGATATGTGAGTACTATCCTTGTTTTAATAAAGTCTAGTATCCTTTTAAAACCTTCTGCACTACGAGTCTCCACTTTTTATTTTATCTGATGCATGGGCCATTCGGATGAACTGTCTGCTTCCAATTCCTGAGACTGCAAGAGAGTCTGTAGAGGAGGAAATCACTGGGAGGTATTCAGCATCAGGTGCTTCCTCTACCTGGTTCGAATTAGAGAATTAGAGGAACAGCGCATACAGACCCTGGTGGGTCTCTGCTAAAGGTGAGGTGCATTCCAGAAGATTTCTCTGTTGATGGTCACAGGAGACTAAGTCTATTCTACATCCAATGTTTTATCTTCTATTTACTTAATGGACTATTGAAGATCCAGGATCATGGACATTTAACCATATATTATTTTCACTGTAGTACAAGTTACACACATGCGTTTTTCTAGTTGGTATTCTTTGCACATTGCATCACATTGATTCACAGTTAATATTTAGTGCATTTGATTTTTCATTATGGATATTTTGTAGCAATTACATTTACACTAAGGTGCATGTTATATACATGCGTTTCTTCTTTGTTTTGCACTTTTTACACATTGTATCACATTACTCCAAGGTCAGTATCTACTATGCTTTTAAGATTACAATAAAAGAAGCAGCTATAGAACTTACGGTAATGGCTGATGGTCCTAGAGCAGTCTGGACAGGAGACCTCAGAACTTGGGCTCAGTTAGCATGTAGTGTTTGTCTCTACTTTGGATATAATAGAGAGCAGGTTTATCTTACACCAAGACTAGGACAATACAGAGCTAGCTGGACTGCAATACCACTGCAAGCAGGTGCTCATCACATGTGATTGCTGCTAACATGAGCCTATCAGCCAGTCAAGTTTGACATAATTTTATTGTGTGTATAGTGTGTGTGCGACACTGCTCTACTATAAGGTCCTGAAAACGGCATGGCCTACTTTAAATCGGACCTCCAGTCAAATAGCTAAACACACGGATGAAGAGCTGTTTTAACCGCTGAAGGATCTTGCTATTATTCACAAATGAATGCAGATCAGGACCCGAGCTGTCAAACTGATAGCTCAGACCGGCAGTTTAAACTGGCTCAACACGGTTCTCCCTTTGGAATCATCAGAGCTCTGTGACAGCCAGGCAGTGTGCTCTATTTACCAGGAGTACATAGGGCTCCTGACACAGAGGGGGCAACTGTCACACTGACAGCAGAGTGCTGCTAGTTACACAGGGAGAGCCATGATCTCCCAGTGTAAACTGCTGAAGTGATCTCCCAGTATGACAGCTCAGTCCTGCACAATTCAGGAACCGTGCAGGACGGAGCATGGATGGGCGATGCAGAGGCAGGAGAAGCTCCCTGCTCAGCAGAGCCCCCTGCAGTATGGCATCTAAGGCAGGTGTGTCTTTTTCCTTTGCCCAGCCCTGAGCATAACATCCAGAAAACTAGCATGTTTTATAAGTAGAAGTTAGTATGGCAGCCTTCACATTTTTTTCAGTAGGTTTACTTTACAGTGGAACTTTTCCCTTAATTCATAAATGTGCTACCTGGAAGGATTTCTTTTTTTGCAGAAGAAACACACTATGAGGGGAGATAACTAACACTGAAGCAGGTGTTCATGGCTACCAATCAGCTTCTAGATTTTAATTTTTATGACTTAACTGAACAAACTGAAGCCAGAAGCTGATTTGATACTATGCACAGCTGCTCCAGTTTTAGCAAATCCCCCCATTTGATTCCTCTACAGCAAAGGTCTCAAACTTCCGGCCCTCCAGCTGTGGTGAAACTACAAATCCCATGATGCATCTCTCTTCGGGAGTCATGTCTGTGGCTGCGAGAATCTTGCAATGCCTCATGGGATTTGTAGTTCCACCACAGCCGGAGGTTTGAGACCCCTGCTCTACAGTAAAAGCTTTTTTCCATCCTCCTTGCAAGGTGGTTTAGAATATACACTCAGCTTTGCTCAGTGCACATTCTCCGCATGCCTTGGTGCTGGATGAAAGAACTCTTGCGCATGCATGGGAGTTACAGCATCCAGGAAAGGCCAATCACGTTGCCTAAAGATACCAAACCTGGAAAAAGACCTGGGAGAAGATGTTGGCACTTGGCAAGGGAGCATGTGTGTGCCGCATTGCTGGAAGGGAGAGGAGTATTGAAAAGGTTAGTTGATCTTAATCATTACATCTCATTTTTTAAACTGACCTGTAACTGCGTGATCTCTGGATCCCAAAGAGTGCAAAGAACCACATTCGAGACTGAAACCCGCTCACTGTTAGACATCTGGCTGGCCAATCTGTTCTTCGCAGAATCCTCAGTGACGCCATCTCTGTTCATTATACGCACCACTGCCTAAATAAAAGCCAAACAGATCATGCTTAATGTACATGCAAGGAATCATACACAACCACATAGAAATACACTAAAATATGGCTGTGGACAGAACATTACTGCAAAAGCCTATTGTAACCTTGTATGTTAAGCATAACATGTTGTACATATTTACAATAAATCAGCTCCCAAGTTTACATTGCTGCCTTCATAGTAAATAAGGGCCCTGCCCTTATAATATGAAGAGGTAAGGGAGACAGTAAGCAACAGATAAGATGTTGTATACCCTGTCATAGGTGCAAGCAGAATGACTGAAGAGTCAGATTGTATGCCAGTTTTTAAGAGGCAACCCAAATATTTGACTTCTAAAAAGGTGAGAACAGTTGGTGAGGAGATGAAGGAAATAGACGTGGTGTAAGCGCGCTGTGTACATGGAAAAAAAGAGAGTTTCTGGGCCCCTGCAAGAAAAGATTGCATCCTCAAATGCCCAATGTGGGGCTCGAACCCACGACCCTGAGATTAAGAGTCTCATGCTCTACCGACTGAGCTAGCCAGGCCACTTTCCTTTCTGTTTCCATCCGGTTTGATTTTGCTGAAGCCAAAGTTGCAGGGGTCAACTGGGGTGAGGCCCTGTGGGCTTGTCTAGGTTCTGGCCTACAGGCCACTGCCTTAGTCCAGGTGCTGAAGTGAAGCTGTGGGTCAGTTAGGTTGCTTTTCATAACCGATCCAGCCCATTCCACACACTGAATGCCAAGATGGAGGTGTTGTATGAACCCGGTATTTGAAATGGAGAAGCCTGTGAGGAGGTTGAAGATGGGAATGTGAAGAGGTCAGGAGAAAAACCTGGCACAGAGAAGTTACACTCGTAGACATACCGGAAGATGGAGAGAAGGCTATAAGGATGTCAAATTGGAAAAGCTTTGTGGGGGTGGAACTGTACTCTCTGTAAATTGTACTTACCGTTTTAGTTTCCAAAAGCATTCCTCAGAACTCCGGGCACATTATTATACAGACAGATTTTTTTTTTAATTTGCATAGAGAGATAAAAAAAAAAAAAAAAAAAAA